ATGATATTCTGGAGAAGAAGGGTTTCCCTGCTCCATAATGTAGATATAGGAGGCATGTAGTTTATGGCTTATGATGTCATTGCACAGTGCAAAAACTGAAAGTCTGTCTGTTTCCAAGAAACAAGATCTGAGTTCTTTAATCAAGAGCTTGTATCATAGTACCATTTCACAGAGGGAATGCTGATTGTGTGGGTGTTTTCGATTTTATGGATTGTTTCATAACTATTGATACTTATTTGAACCTGGGAAGTAAAACCTGAATCACTGCTTCTTAGCTAGGGTTTTGGAATTGAGAATCTTCTATGAACAAGAGAGACTTCAGTTTATATCAATTCTCCCATGCCTCAATTCGATAGCAGAGTAGAAGGGCTTGAGTTTAGTACTAGAACATTGTTTTCGAGCAATTTCATTTGTTTTGGAGTCCATTTTCCTACAAATCTTCATTCTTAGTAAGCAAATGTTATTGCAGGCCTTCATAATTGCATCAACTGCAACCGAGGAGGAAATGCTGAACTGGTAAGAAACTTCCTTTTCTTATTCCTTAGTTGCATTTGCATGTTTCTGGAAACATGACAACACATTGATGGTGTTTTATTCTGTTTTAGGTACCGTGAACATGTCGTATGGGGTGACAAAGACTTGAAATTGAAACTCCTGAGGAAGGGCATTTTAACTCGCATATATTCTCCCGTGGTGAGCTAGACTAAGACACATCTGCAGAATAAAACGACAGACACATCCAGATATACTTCTTTTTTTTTTCAAACTATTCATCTCTTAATAACCAAAACATAGAAATAAGTAGGAAGGAGAAAGCATTTAGAGTACATGGTAATTTTTTGTCTTCTTGATCCTGACATACGAGGGCTGGCTTAATAAAGGCTTGGCAGCTTCCTTTCTGTATGGAACTGATACCTAATTGCTTACTGCTAAAAGAAAGAGCAGATCAAAAGGATTTCATAGGTTAAGAATTAAGATGGAGGATATGGTGATTTACAAACTGGGAAAATAAATTGATGTGTGCAATCAATTAGCTGGTCCTTTCCATCTAGGGGAAAAGATGTGCGCGCATATACTGTCCAAGCCATTTTCTTTATCGGCATATGCATGCTTGTATATTTCAGGTCATAATTCAGGGCTTAAGGGAGTCGGGCGTCTTCAGCTCTGTTATTGAATCCGCTCCAACAACACTTTCAAGGGACAAGTTTTTAGCATCTGTGGATAGTAGTAACTCATCAAGAGCAGTTGTCTCCGACTCAATGCTTTCAAGAAAGACCAACAAAAGCAGAGAGAATCAGGCAACAGCTAGGAAGGTTTTGGGTTTAGAAACTGCCGCAGCATCTCATGAAGCTGCTGTTCCACCACTTTCTCCTCCAGGGTTGCTTGTGGAAGCATGATCCATATTCCTGGCTTGATTGCTGCTTCTTCTCATTCCTGTTTTAACAGTGGATTTTCCTGAAGGGAGGAATCATGAGAGAAAAGACAGATCAAGCAGGCTTCTCATCGCCGTGTATGTGGTCAGTTACAACTGGTTCCTCCCGATCATGATCCAAGCGCCTCTGTACATTTACCTTTAGGAAGAGGATTCTTGTCCATTTTGTGTGCGTGGCCACCATAATTTTCAAATAGAAAACCTTACCTGCCATTCTCATGTATAGAAACCAGTGTTGACAGTAGAAAAAGGTTATTATTTGTCGTTGGCAGTTCATTACCTGCCTTTATTTTCTCAGAATTTTCCTTGGAGGAAACTTGAAATAACAATCACAATAATAAAAGAAAAAGTATTTGCCTTAACTTGTCAATCCCTAGTTATAAAACTTATGTCGGCTGACGAGTGATTGAGATCCAACTGATTTGAATTTTGGATTAGTTAGAGTTAAGAAAAAAATAGAAAATGATTGATTCAATTTGACTCGATAAAAAAACTCAAATTAACTTATAATTTATTTAAAAATTATATATTTTTTTAAAAGAAAATTATAATGTTTTGATAGTTTTTTAGATTTTTTATTAGTTGACATTTTCAACTCATAATCTTAAAAAATATATTTTAACCTAGAGATGTAGGTATTTCAAATTACAAATATTATTTTTCTCTCATCAAACACTTATTTTATGATATTTTTAATTACTTTAAAAAATAATTTAAAATAATGATATTTAAAAAAAGATTAATTATTATTTTTTAAATAATGATACTTACTTATTTAAAATAATTATTTCAAAAACTATTTTATTGAATATATGAAATAGCATTTAATATGAATAGTTTTACTCACTTATCTAAACTTATAAAATTTGTTTTTTGTTAAGTAAATTTTTTCAAATCCAAAAAAATAAAAAGAGTTTAGTATGGTATAGCTACTTAATTCTACAAGCAGCTTCCGAATTTGTTCATCTGTCATGAACATCATCCCTTCTTGTACAAATTCTTGTTTCTTAACATTCTTCGTTGCCTTATTCTTTTAGATCAATTATCTAATATCAACCTAAAAATATTTTCTTTTATGATCAAGTAATTTTTGTTTAATTTATCTCCAATATCCCAAATCATTTACAACATGATGAAGACACAATAAAAATATATAAAATTTGGGATTTGAATGCTTAAATCATTTGTACACCTTTCATGCAAACGTGAGGTCTTTATTGTGAGACGAAAGGGGGACAAGACCAGATAGATTGGCCGATTAGGGGTTTCGGGTTTCATAGCAATGACATTTTTTAAGACCTCCTGTATAATTTGGCCTTGGAAAACAAAAAATCTAGTAAAAGAAACAAAGATTCAAGTCATTGAGTTTAACGATAAACTCGTAATTTGATATATAACATTGAAATAATTTAAAAAAATATAAAAAATAATTTAAAATTAATTAAATATTAAAAAATCAAACTAAATTAAAATAATTAAAAAAAGGTTTAAGAAAATGACAAAGATAATACAAAATAATTCTTCAAATTTATGACCGGGTTATTAGAACATGGTTATCCCATAAAAGGAAGATTAAAAAAATAACAACATAAAAATTTCAATAAATTTAATATCAAGAGATAAAATTTAAAAATAAATAAATTAATAAAACTTTCAAAACCCAATTTAATCAAGTGGGTTGACATGTGAATTTTATAACTTGATGTCATGACCTCGAGTTTTTTCTCTATTATTTTTTTTTTATGAAATTAACACTATTTTTTACTTTTTAGTTGAATAAAATATTAAGTGATTAACTAGGAAAAAATTATGTCAAAACCTGTTGGTTTTTTTTGCCACTATTTTTTATTAAAATAATATTATTTTTACTTCCTGTGCAATAAAAAATCCAATTAAACTTGGTAAACTCAATCATTCAACCCCACCCATGACTTGAGACATGATGGAGGTCGACTTCTATGCTGAATTTTAAAAAAATAATTAAAAAATATCAAATATAATATGAAAATTTAATGAAATTAAACAATAAGAGATGAATTTATCAAAAAATAATTAATCAAGAAGAGAACTCAAAATAAAAGGAATTGTAATCATAAAAATGAAGATCACATTCACAAAAAAAAGGAAATAAAATCAAATTATTATGTATGAAATCGAAAAATAAAATCCAATTAGAAAACAGATTAAAAGCAAAATAAATAGGGATTAAATGAATGATTATCAAATTTCATAAAAAATATAAAAAAATCAAATACCAAGAAATAAAATTAAAAATAAATAAATCAAATTCAACACAATTAAAAAATTAAGAATTACTTTGCAATTTTAGCACATAAATAAATAAAATTCAATACAATTAAAAAATTAAGAATCACTTTGCAATTTTACAAGGTTAGCACCCTTTTTAAAATAGGGGAGAAAGAAAAGAGGGAATGAAAAATTTATTACCAGAGCTCACTGTGGAAAGCTTGACATGATGATTTGAATATCACTTAAAAAAAAAACCTAATAACTATTAAGATGAGTTTCATATGCCGTTTAAAAGATGTGATTATCTTCTATTTACTGGCGCATGTTATTTTTTTATTTATAAAAAAGACTATAAAATACTCTTGACTCTAAGAGAGAGTTGCTCTACTCAATAGTTGAAAAAAAAACCAATGTCAAGAAACACAAAAAAGTCCTCTTGAGCTTAGGTGAAAAAAAAATTACCCCACGAGCTATTTGGAAATTAAAATATACAAAAAAAAAGAAAAGAAAAATTGAAAACACCCCCCAAACACTTAGCAGCCTTGTTTTTTTATTTTTTTCGAAGAGCATGGGCGTAATTACACCATGCAATGAAGTGTGAAAATACTATTTTACCCGTGTGTGTTCACTCCTTTGGTTTTTAAAGTGCAAAATCGTTATTGTACAGTGAAGAACACGGGGGAAATAGTTTTTGAGACGAAAGTGGGACAGGACCAGATAGATTGGCCGCTTGGGGATTCTTAATAGCAATGACAATTAGCATTGCGTCCCATGCACCAATATCGTATCTTACTCTTTCTCAAGTTATTATATAGGCTGGATTCGTTATGAATCAAATCAACATTTAAAGTTGTAATTCTTTCAAAATTGCACTTGCATTGTCAAAGATGAGACCATGCTGCTCCCTACGGCATGTTCAAAGTCCAACTATGCTATTAGTCAATTGCCATGGCCAGCAGGTACAAATCTCACATCTCATCCCGTTCTTAGAGATGATGATCTAGTGTCAGCAATTTTAGGAAACAGATACGAATGATAAGGGAAGCTCGAACACGATCATATAGGCAAAAAAATATTTGATTCCCTGTTTTTGCTGCAACTGCGAGGCTGCAAGATATGGTGTCGACGTGTTATTGAATCAGACTACCACGTTAGTGTTCCCGCCTTAAAAAGCATCAAAGCCGCCTTCATCCGCCATGTCAATTTTCCTTTACCAAGAGCAGTACGTTAGATAATGAGTTGTGCTGTTCAGCAATGCAAATTCTGAGGCAAATTGATATGGAAGTTGATCGTGAATGCAATGCTCGAAAGGATGCTATTCATGCTGTAAGCTACTATCTTTCACGCCTTTTCAATTTATCACACTTCCATCCTTGAACTTACCAAAAAACCCATGCTTATATTTACAATTAAGAAAACAGAAATTCCACACGGTAACAATTAAATATATACCATTCAACTAAAGCATAGAGTATTTGCTAACTTTACACAGAACGCAAACCTAGAACTTGGGTTGTGATCATGTTACTACTGTCAGAAGAGGTCTAATTTTTCATTGTTTCTCATCATTGTTGGCGTCCTCATCAAAAGCACACAGCAGCTCCTTCACATCTCTCTCCTCTATACTTGATTTCTTCACATTGCATCTCTCTCCTTCCCATTTATGCACAAGCCACAACTTCTCTCTTACCCGATGATTATTTTGCTCATCCTTTTTAATCCAACAAACCAGATTCTGCGGATTCTTAAACCAGCTCTTGTTCACTTTTGTATCTGAAATCAAAGTAAAAAACCTGGCCATTTGTTCAGATTCCATAAACACCTTCCCCCCCTTACGTTTCAAACCATGCCTCTCTATTCCAGTACTCAAAATCACCACACTACTCAGCGTTTTAGGCCGATGACTTAATATTACAAGAAAAAAGGACATCATCAGAGGATTCTTGACCTTTTCAATATCGAACCAGTCCCGTTTACGGTATAAACTTGACAATGATCCAACTTCAATAGCCACACACAGATGAGTGTGCATTTTATCGTTCATATCCTCTGCCTTCAGCTTGTACTTGAATGCATGTCCGCGATGCACTCCATAACAAGGGAGTAGTGACGGGCAAAGGCAGAGCTTGATTTTAAGAGATTTCATATAAGCAAACACTTTCATAATGGCAGGGATAGCTGATAGAGGAATGTGGTCATGTGATTTCCAGCAAGGGAGATACTTGCCGGCCTCTCCTGGATATGAGAATCTAAGAGAGACTGCATCCACTTTGGAGACAAGGGATTGCAAGTGCTTGCACACTAAACAGCAACGAATAAGGGTTTTGGGGTCTCCAGTTTTCTTCAAGATGATTATGATCAATTCATCCGGTAACTGGATGAATCTGTCCGAGGCATCCAAAATACGGCGTTTCTTTGTCAATTTGGATGCCGACATATCTTTTCAGAAGATTGGACTCAAAAGGTTTCTACTAAAATTAAAGATGATACTGTTTTAATCAAAACTGAATATGGTTGGCAAGGCTTCAATAACCTCTCCTGCAAAACAAATTCCAGGCTCAAACAATGAACATCAGAGAAATAACGACTGTTTATTCTACAGCATTAATCATATTCAAGATCTACACATTAATACTCCATTAACTATCTGAATTACTTTCCAAATTAAGAGAAGAGACTAAACTCAACTGACAGACCTCACCAATCAACCCAAAAAGAGAAGATTGAAAATTTGAAACCCCAAGATGAACTCAATATGCATACCCTAACCTGAGATAGAGAGTGACAGTTGAAAAGGTGATGCCTTTACCTCGAAGGATGATGATACATCGATCTCACCTCTTCTGGGGTTCCTAGAGAATCAAAACTCGAGAGATGGAGTGATCAATCTGTCTGTGAACTGGAAGATTAGGGTTTCGGGGGTAGAGAAATTTAAAACCCGGTCCGATCAAGCCGGATTTAAAAAAAAAAAAAAAAAAAAAAGAATCTAGGTGACTTGGTCAAAAATTCGGGTTGACTTTGTAAGATCTGATAAAAAAACCTAACTACAATTCATCATTTCATTGACCATTTATTTACTTTTAACGAAAACATAGTTATTTTTATTTATAAAAAAAAAATTATAATTAACTATGTGTGGAATGACGTTGTGATTTAATCAAAACCCTTAACTTAGATTTTGAATTAAATCAATCACCAACCAAGTTTATAATAATATTATTTTTGTTTTTTAAATAAAATTTGATATCAATCCTATTGGATTTTGATCAGATTTATTCTGATAATTACTGAAAACCATGATTAAGTAAATTAAAATATTTTTTAATTCATGTTTTAAAAATACATAAAAATAATTAATTTTTTAGATTTTTTATATTAATACATTAAAAATATTAAAAAAATATCAATTCAATAATCTTCTAATCAAATATACTTTTAAAATATATCTAAACACAATCTCAAATAAAAAAAAACAAAAAAAAAACGGTGCTAAATTAATATCCATTTCAATTCAATTTAAACAAAACTAATTCAATAGTCTTTGTAGTTTTTGAAGTTATATGTTTAGTCCTTACGTGTCCAATCTATTTATATCTTAGTCCTAACTAATAAAAAGCAAATCTGGTTAGTCAAGAGTAAAATTTTAAAGGACTAACAAAGAAAAACATTGTGCAATTTACAATGATTTTTTATTTATTGATGTATATTAAAATCAGAAAATATTTTAGTGTTGAATAATTTTTTTTATTATTATGTAAGAATTTTATCCATAAGAAAAGGAGGTACGTAAAAAAGCTTATCTTAAGATTGGGTATTGGAATATAATTATTAAACTTATAAGATAAATTAATTCAATAAATTTATGATTTAGCTCATGATTTATAAAAATCAGGGTAATCTCTCAGATTGACTAACAAATTGGATAATTTAATTAAGTTTGGTTGAGTTAAAATTAAAATATTTTTAAAAAATAAAAAAGTATTTTTACAAAAAAATAATAGAAACAAATTAATTCAATAACAAATAAATTACTCCGATGATTTAATGATATACAAGATGCTAGATCCATGATCTCTCGGCTGGGTTGATCTCCGGCGTCAGGCCTCCAATCGGACGGTGAGCAAATTCAACAAGTGGGTTAGTGACACGTGTTGCTACTTGAAGCCAAGCTTTGGGCTTGTTTTATAGGGCTAGAATTTGTTGTATTTGTGGACTATTATAGGTTTTATTGCCGGCCCAATTAGGCCCATTTATTTTCTTCTTCCCAATCTCCAACCGTCCAACATCTAAGAGCACCTGGAAGTGCTATAACAAGAACACAAGTAAACTGCCAAACAAACCTTGAAATTTACAAAAAATGCCACCCCAACCGCCACCTCCGCCACCGTCAAAACCCCTTAAACCCTACTTCTTCTACGGCCATCGTAAACCCTCACAAAACCGCCCTGTAGTCCGCGGTGGTCTCTTCACAAACCGTCAAACCGTCAAACCACAACCTCCAAAAAACCCCATCACCCCTTTCAAGCCATTCGATCTCCACAAATGGGACCCACAGAAAAACCTTCCCCACCAACCACAACCCTCCAAACCTCAATCTCCACGATCACGACACTCCCTCGCCCTCTCCCAACGCCTCTCCCCCATTGCCAGATTCATCCTCGACGCATTCCGCAAGAACCGGAACCAGTGGGGTCCAGAAGTGGTGACAGAGCTCTGCAAACTCCGGAGGGTGACACCGGACCTGGTTGCCGAAGTGCTGAAGGTCGAAAACAACCCTCAGTTAGCGACAAAGTTCTTTCACTGGGCAGGTAAACAGAAAGGGTTTAAGCATACTTTTGCTAGTTATAATGCTTTTGCTTATAATTTGAACAGGAGCAATTTTTTTAGAGCTGCTGATCAGTTGCCTGAATTAATGGAAGCACAAGGGAAGCCACCGACGGAAAAACAGTTTGAAATTTTGATTAGAATGCATTCGGATGCGAATAGGGGACTTAGAGTTTACTATGTGTATCAAAAGATGGTGAAATTTGGGGTTAAACCGCGTGTTTTTTTGTATAATAGGATAATGGATTCATTGATTAAGACGGGGCATTTGGATTTGGCATTATCGGTTTATGAGGATTTTAGGAGGGATGGACTGGTGGAAGAGAGTGTTACTTATATGATTTTGATAAAAGGGTTGTGTAAGTCAGGGAGGATAGAGGAAATGATGGAGGTTTTAGGGAGAATGAGGGAGAATTTGTGCAAACCGGATGTTTTTGCATATACAGCAATGGTTAGAGCTTTGACAGGAGAAGGGAATTTGGATGCTTGTTTGAGGGTTTGGGAGGAGATGAAGAGGGATGGGGTGGAGCCGGATGTGATGGCATATGTGACTTTGGTTATGGCGTTGTGTAAAGGAGGGAGGGTGGATAAAGGGTATGAGGTGTTTAAGGAGATGAAGGGGAGGAGGATATTGATCGATAGAGGAATTTATGGGATTTTAGTTGAGGCATTCGTGGCGGATGGAAAGATTGGGTTGGCTTGTGATTTGTTGAAGGATTTAGTGGATTCTGGGTATAGGGCTGATCTGCGAATTTATAATTCACTTATTGAAGGTTTTTGTAATGTTAAGAGGGTTGATAAGGCTCATAAGCTTTTTCAGGTTACAGTTCAGGAGGGTCTTGAACGGGATTTTAAGACTGTGAATCCTTTGCTGATGTCTTATGCTGAGATGAAAAAGATGGATGATTTTTGCAAGCTTCTTAAGCAAATGGAGAAGTTGGGATTTTCGGTCTTTGATGATCTCTCCAAATTCTTCTCGCATGTGGTTGGGAAGCCAGAAAGAACTATGATGGCCTTGGAAGTGTTTGAAGACTTGAAAGTAAAAGGTTATAGTAGTGTGCCTATCTACAATATACTAATGGAGGCTCTCCTTACGGTTGGAGAGAGGAAAAGGGCATTATCACTTTTTGGTGAAATGAAGGACTTAAATAAACCTGACTCGACAACTTATAGCATTGCAATTATATGTTTTGTAGAAGATGGAAACATCCAAGAGGCTTGTGTTAGTCATAACAAAATAGTTGAGATGTTCTGTGTCCCTTCTGTTGCTGCCTATTGCTCTCTTGCTAAAGGGCTTTGTGATAATGGAGAGATTGATGCAGCTATGATGCTTGTTCGTGACTGCTTAGCCAGTGTTGAAAGTGGGCCCATGGAGTTCAAGTACAGTCTCACGATTCTTCATGCATGTAAAACAGGTGGTGCTGAAAAGGTGATTGATGTGCTAAATGAGATGATGCAGGAGGGTTGTACTCCCAATGAAGTTATCTATTCTGCTATCATCTCTGGTATGTGCAAGCATGGGACAATTGAAGAGGCAAGAAAGGTGTTTACAGATTTGAGACAGCGTAAAATTTTGACTGAAGCAAAGACAATTGTGTTTGATGAAATATTAATTGAACACATGAAGAAGAAGACAGCTGACTTGGTATTGGCAGGACTAAAGTTCTTTGGTCTAGAGTCAAAGTTGAAAGCAATGGGTAGCACGCTTCTGGGAAGCTGAATAGGTATTTACTTCATCTGTTTGATTGCAACCTAGTATAGCATTTACTAAAAGCACAACAATTTGAGAGAGGGGATTTAATTTGCTGTTCGTGGACATGCAAATGTTATTCATGCCTAACATACAGAATAGTTGTTTGCAGTCACACCAGTGGAATATGGATCGTGTGTTGTAGGATAAGATTCTGATGCCCATTAGTGTGAGCATAGTGATGAATAAGACTCAGCGGACTGGTGAACCTGGAGTCAAGGTCTCACTTGGACATGATGCTCTTACAACACTCAATAGGTGGGTTCAAATCTCAAGCATGCCTTCTATTCATCATCAATCAGTCAGGCTGTGAAATGCCTGCAGAGTCGTTCCTTTTTTTTTTTGGCACCAATTCTCTCGACCAAACAGTTCTTGCTCATCCCATTTTGGTTTTATTACTCATGCATTTATTGTTATGTATAGGAAAAATGTGCAATTTTGTAATTTAAAAGATTAATGTCAAAGAACTTCAAGTCCGGGAGCATTTGATAGTTGCTAGTCAGTAATCAAACTGGTTGGTCAAATGCCTAATTTATCATCTTCTTTATGTTGACGCTTGCCTGTTGATTCCCTGAAGTGTCTTTGTAAACTGCATCCAAGTTTGCATTGGACAGGAAATATTACAATGTGATGCTTGAAGGAAACTGAGTAGTGCTTATGGATGATTGATGGATCAATTCCAGGGGTAGATCCTAGAAATTTGTACCAGTATAGATCCAAAAGTATGAATAACATTTCTTTCTTGTGCTGGGATACTGTCACTATGGAGAGGAATCTGCATTTGGTGTATATTGTTGTGGGACTTGTGATTGCTCTATTTTCAGTCTTAGAAAAGGAGAGGCCACCTCAAAAGGAGCTGAATGGGATAGAGTGGTCTCTGCTCATAGGGAAGCCTCTTTATAGAAGATTCTGTCTGCCTGCTTCTGTTATTTTTCATGGAAAGGAAAACATATAGAGGGTTGCCGGTGTGGGTCAAGAACACCATCAGATCGAGGACAATCATCAACTTACTCTTCTTTTCCAAAAGTTCCTATATTTATAAAGGTTCTCAAGGACAAATCATCCAAGTTTTAATTGCTTTTAACACCATTTGTAGCTGATTTGAGGAGTTACCAAAGTAAAAGGGATGCATATTTGATTGAAGAGTGAAAAAAGTTCTTCCACACTGGCTCAGTTGCTTCAGTAGCTTGCGGAGTTCCCTTCTTGCATTATGATTTCAGATATTCAGGAACACTGAGACAATGAGAAGAAGATTAAGAGCTTGTCACTGAAAAATTTGGTGGTCTACTGGTTTGATGACACCCCTTGTTCCTACAGAGGATACACCGTCAGCATTGGTGTTTTTTTGATAGTAACATGGAGCAGTGAAGCAGCCATGTATTGTTTAACTCTGTGATCGGAGCTTGTTTATATAATAACATGGAGCAGTGAAGCAGCCGTGTATCGTTCAACTTTGTGAGTGGTAATCTGGTAATGGTAATGGATGATGGAGTGCTGAAAGCTTTAAATATTTTTATGAGGAATTGGAACTTTGTTGGACATGGATTTCCTCTTTATCAAATCACTTTCAGCTGTGGGTAAAACAGCGACCCTGCAAAAATCTCATGTTGGACAAGGCAGGAAACACTTGGCTCTATTATGCATTTTGAAGAAAACAAATGCTGAACTACTGTCCCGACAAGTTAGAACTCTTAGCTTAAGTTGGAAACCTCTCTTTCTGTGATTTACATGTTTTTTTATAGACATCAGAAGAAAATTTAAGAATTTTGTTTCCCTTCCTAGAAAACTAGAAGACAAGTCTTCAAAGCTTTTGGTGCAACCTTGTAAACAGGCCTAGGGATATCACTGCACCAACAAATACTGGATATCCTCGTGTACCTTTGGTAGTATGAAGAACCAGATTAGAGCTGCTTGTGGTGTCAGGCAGCCTTGCATGAAGATGAGGCAGAAACCTGGTTTTGATCAGGCAGCCTTGCATGAAGATTAGGCAGAAACCTGGTTTTGATGTTCAGCAGATATTAGGTTGTATGGCCTTTCTTCCCAAGTTTCTTCGGCTTCAGCAGACACACTGTTATTATTTGTAAACTAAACAATTTCATGCCGAGCCAGTTTAACACATGCGGCTTGATTCTCCTGTAATTGGTGTCCAGATGATCTTTTCCATCACCAATCAACTATGAAAATATATATTATACAAACAACTCTGAATTATTGGTCATTTGGATGGATATGTATTTTTATTTTTATCGGATTAATGCCCCCTATAACCATGTCAAGTTATTCATAATTTTTTTTAGATTAACTCCTATAATTCTTGTCTTTTAATTTTAATACATGAGATCATTTGAGTGCAGAGCTTGTAAACTTCAAGCCATTTAAGATGTGATTGTATTATTGACACCTGGAGCTTGTATCACTGTTCGTTTTAAGCATAGTTGAAGATAAGCCCAAGTTTTGTGATTCTGCCAAAAAAATGATTTTTTTAAATTTTAAATTAATTTTTTTAATATTTTTAAATTGATATATTAATATAAAAAAAATTGCTTCAATATATTTCTAAATAAAAATATTTTAAAAAAACAATAACCATTCTTGTTTGCTATGCCATTAAACTAGCAAGTAATCAAAACTGTTGTTCTTTTTAAACAATATTACTTCGTTTATTATTATTATTATTTTTGTTTCGATCTTATTGAATTTGAATAGAGTATTAATAGAGTGTTATCATATCAATTTTTTTTTTATTCAACTTCTTGGATCAAGTTTTGAATTTCAAGTTTTTTTGTTTTTATATCAACATAACCAGAGTTCAACAACTAAGATTCTAAGTAGTGAATTATGTATCTCAAAGTGATTGTACGTTCAAACCCATTTCTTCATGTTCATCTTGCTGAAATTCCTTTTCTTCATCCAATGTATATCATATCTTTGTCCTAAGATTGGGAATTAGCAAACAAATGAAAGAATGGACCAATTCATTGTAGGAATCTTGATTGATTATCTTTGCGCATATATTGCAAACAATTCAAGAAAGAAAAGAAAAAAAAAGGGAACCATACTGAAATACAAGAAGCAGGACTTGAAACAACTCGGTGCAGCTCTGCTAGAACATAGATAGCAATTGCGGAGAAGAGGAAAACCATTTATTTCTCCAAGATCAATGCTATTACAATATTCTTTCATCTGCATTACCTAATGACGATGTTCACCATGCAAAGACGAATAGGAAAACAATTTAAACCAAAATTGGAGATGCAAAGTTACTATGACTATACTATTGGATTTGGATTAACAAGCTGGTCACGGACAATAAACTGAAAGAAGCTAAAATTTGCTTTCTCTATAGCTATGCCTAGTGACACATCCAAACTCCAGACTGAAATCATGCAAAGCATGGATGATGAAGCCTAGGCTTTCGCTTAGGCCGCTTGAAAGTTCTTGTACATGGATGCACTGTCTGCAATTCCTTCTCTAAAGAAATGTCAACAGTATCATCTTTCTCGTAGTCATCCTCATCGTCTTCTTCCTTGTCATCATCCACTTCTTCTGATTCCTTGATTAATTTCAAGCTTTAATTCGATGAAGTCGCGAAAGTCAAGAATTGTCCAAGGACAATCACACTATCAAAACACATAAATACATGAAACAAGCATTATAGGATCAATCTTCACACAGTCTAGGCATCTAAAACTGCATTCCATTAAATAAAACTAACACCAGAAAGTACTAACAGTGAAACTGAAATTGCCCCTTCACATAAAAAGAAATACAGGGAAAGAAAGAAAGAATGGCAAGAAATCCAAGCAGTAGGCATCTAATAGCTGAGTAGACTTGGTGTTAGTTTTAGCATTCAAGATCTCATTTTACTTCTGCCACAATCAGAAACAAGTATCCTGGCACATCTTGAACATTTTAGACATCTCAATTTGCATCGAGACTCTAAGATTAGAAATCTAGCTCATGCAATAATATACAATCATAATGGCTAAATGGACAAAACTTTGTTGGCAGCTAGTAAAATGGTCTATCAAATTCACCATTTCCCATGCTTGTTCACTACTAACATTAATCTATTTCTAGCCTAAAACACCAACAGCCAGAAAGAACAACACACTAAAACATGAAACCAAGACAACCCATTTAACAAAAGACTGAGAATTTAAGAATCAATGTACCTCTTCAAGATAGTCTTGGCCAAGCATATCAGCAATTCTAATAGAAGAAAAGATAGTGGCAGAAAAGAGAGAGAGATGGAGCAGGAATGCCAACACGCAGCTGTTGGAGCTTAACCATGCAGGTGTCACCAATATTTTCAAACTTCTCCTCCTCCGCCTCGGGTCATCGGTGATGAGAATTGCCGGAGGTAGGCAGGTGAAGGGGCTTAAAGAAGGCACGAGTGGGTGTGGGTAGGCAGGTGAAGGGGCTTAAAGAAGGCATGCACGAGTGGGTGTGATAGAGAGAGGGAGTGCGAGTGTGGAAGAGAAGGGGATTAAGATACTGACCATGTTTTTTTCGGTGGCACAATCGGAGTGGATATATAATTTGTATTTTTTTTATAATTTATGCTACCATGTAAAATAAAAAATACTGCAGATAAATTAGAAAATGAAATACTATATTCTTAAAAGAAAAGTTACTGGAACAGATAATTTAATTTTGTGTAAATTAAATGTGTTTGTTGGTGTTAATTATGTCATGTTGTGTTAAAAATTAAAAATTATATTTTAGATTTTATATAATAACTTAAACTTTAACACTAATTAAGATGATTTTATGTTAATAGTCATAGATAAATGCATTTTTATATTGGTGTGAGAACTAGATGTGAAACCTTAACCATTTTACTTGGAATTTAGAGCACCTAAACTTGCAATTATTGGCCATGCATGCATTGGCTTAATTACTCCGTAGTTTTAACATGGTGGCAGCCTGTTATCGTCTTTGTGTGTCCACCCACATTGTCCATTCATCGCTTTTCTAACCCATTAAAGCACTAGTTTCCCCACGCAAATGCGAAATCCAAGAAGACCACCTTACCATCGTCTCCAAAAACGACACGATCTCCATCAGAGCACTCCCATATCTTAGCTGGGGCGGCGCTAGGTTATGTTCCATGCTCGGGATCGCACAACCACCTTGCAGCATCACAAGTTCCGGGTCTGATGAAAGTGTTTGTCAATGTGAAATCTCTCAAGATTAGGCATGCGTGCATTTTTCCAACTTTATCTCTCACGACAGTGTTTTTCCAACCCTGACAGTAAAGTTTCATATCTACCTGTTAGAACAACAAATCTTGGCGTGCATAATCATCCACACAAGATGTGTTCATGGCTTGGCTTGTAGAAAAGTTCACCCCAAATGTCCTAATCATAATTAAGACTCTCTTCCAAGTGCTAATTTCATGCTCTAGGAACAGGTCATAACAATTGGATCACTTCATTTACATGCAGCTAGCTAGTGCCATCATAAGGCGGAAGAGACTCAAGTTCCTTAACCACTATCTGTAGGATCGATGCTGCTTGTTCTTGTCTTAACCAGTTATATACTTAAGAGTTTATTAATAGACCCATTATTATGAGCGCTATTGCAATCGGATCAAAATCAAGCGAGAATAAAAGGGGAAAATAGTAAATAATCCAAGCATCAAATAACCATCTTGACATTAAAGTTTAAGATCATAGATATATAATAAAAATGACTTTATATTATGAAAGCTTTGTGAAATTGAAATTTAAATTGGCACATTAATTACTACATTTAAATGAAAAATGACTTTGTGTGTGTGTGTAGAGGCTTTACACATCACATCACAACATAGCATGATCCATATCATTTTGTTGCATCAGGAATCCTAGTAAATTAATTAAAAACTGATATCAGTTAACGTACATTATGGTTCAGCTCATTCTCGCAGGAAAACAGAATAAAATCGAAACACGATGAGTAACCATTAAGAAGTTTCTCTTTGGAACTTGAAACTTCATCGATCACTTGCATCCAAACTTCAAGACGATGTCTTGAATAATCCAATTTGCCATATACTTATTTGAGTTTTGGGTCGAATGATATACATCCCAGAACATATGCTTTTGAGGGTCTGAACAAGGTGGCTTACCTTGATCAATGTAGCAACCTTGAGTTATATATTCAAATCCTGCGCAGTGACAAGTGATCAAGTAAAAGTGTCAGTTTCTATCCACTTATTTCAATATCTACGCAGTTTTGAAAAGGGATTTCAAATATACTTACCAAATTTCTTGTAATTGTCCATAACAAACTGCATCGCATTATAATAATCACCATATACTATAGACACTCCAGGGTATTTCTTTCTCAATTTCTCAAGCTTTGCTTGCAGAAGATCATTGTGATAGTTGAAAAAATCATTGTACTCCTTTACACAACCATATTTGTCTAGTGTGTTAGATTCTGCGAACTTGCTAACATAGCCTGGTGCACAACCTACCCGGTAGATTCCAGGGACAAGAACTCGAGTGACACCATAATGAATGACTTTCTGTGTAGCCAGAGGTGCAAAAACATATTAATTGAAGAATCAAATATGATCATGTTGGTTTAATAAAAAATTAGCTAAGAAATTAACGCAGCATTGTTACAGATATGGAAATACTCGTTTTACGAGTACGTTGACTTACTTCAATGGCTTTCTTGATGCTTTTTACGTTGTCAGATACAAGGCCCATCCTATTCACCTCCTCAATTGTTTTACTGGCAAAGTGAAATGCCATGTTATAGTCATTTGCTCCAATCTCTCCCATTATAAAGAGAGATGACTTGAGTTTTTCCTTGCAATCTGTTAGACATATAAAATATAAACAATTAATATTAGTTATAATATTAACTTAAATTAATGACAAGTTTATTCTATGATAATACAAGGATCATTTCCTGGTTATGGGGGTTAACCAAGTGACACACCAACTTGAGATTTGGCCAGGACTAGGTCAATGGAAAAATCTGTTTTTTTTTTACTAAAATATTTTTTAATAAAAAATTAAATTAATTTAAATTAATCCACTAAATTCATCACCTACGGATCTGGGCTATGAGCCGGGTCGACCCTTGGTCATGTCTTATAATACAAGAATTGCTTTACATGTATAGAAGAGCCATGCTACAGGAGAAAGCAATAACCTTTAGGTTTTCGACAGAATCCTTTTAAGTATCTGTTGAACCATTGAAGTTGTGTGCCGAGAGTATTAACAATAACTCCAGCATCCACCTTCAATTTTGGCACAAGAACTTTAGCTGGTAAAGTTGTAGCACCAGAAAATGCAAAATTCACTCCATTGTGAGAGTCCGTTTCATTTGTATTCAAATAAGCTTTGATGGATGAAAAACCGGCCGACTTCACTGCAAAATGAAGAGGCATAAACAATTTAGCGACATAGCTATGTAGTTTAGGTCGAGTCTTATTACTATGCTTGAAAAACATGTAATAAAGAAGAATAAAAGTAATAGAAATTGTTTTCTTACGAATGTAGTCAAGCGGTACCAAGGATCTAACAGCTGTGCCGTCAGGAAGGCGAGTTTCCGCTACACTAGAATTTATTCTGATTTTGTTTCCTGTGTTTGACAATGAATCACCAATATTATATATCGCATCAAACCCGCAAATCTTAAGTTCTTGTGATTCAAATCCATCAATTGCGCTCACTTTGGACAAAAGAAGAGCTACAATGCAGCTTAAAACAATAAGAACATGAGATAGAACAAGTTCGGTGGGAGCCATAATGGCTTTAGGAGAGTAATATATCTTCTTTATGTTTTTCTATGATCTCTCTCTGGGTTTTCAAGTTGAAGAAATTATCTAGAACTGTTACTATATACGGCCATTTCTATGACAGATTAAGCAGACAGAGAGGAACAACTAATGACAAGTAATATCCTGAAATATCTCGAGTCTCCATGTCTATTCTTTTCGCTCATGTGTTGCAATTTGCTGTGTCAGTTAAATTGCTAATTATAGTGAAATATTCCAGGAAAAATCCTATCGCAATTTGTTGAAGGACATCTTTTAGTTTTAAGTCAGTTAAATGATTTGGCATGCATAGCTAGCCAAGTCCGAGGGAAAGTTACATCCATTGTTTTTTTTATTTGTTTTATGGACGAGAGAATATTTTTATTAATCAACTGATTTAGCCAATAAAAACAATGCTAAACAGGAGAGAAAAAATAACTATAAATAAGCCAAAAATTTGCAAATGAAACATGGCATGTTAGCTCACTAAAAACAGACAAATCAGGCAAATTATAGATATATGAAAGAGAACTATAACCAATCAACCATAGCAGCTTCTATATGAATTTCCTGCTTGGCCAAATAATCTGCTATATGGTTACTTTCTTTATGAACATGTGAAAAATTCACATCAGAAAGATGAATCGGAGATGCCATTGAAATCAATTTGTAACTACCCTAAGCTCGCGCTATTGCTTCATTTTATTTAAGTAATTGCATTGTATAAATCAAGACTTCACAATCCAATCCTTAAAAGATATATAACAGCAATCAATTTTTAAATGAAGAGCTTTTGAATTGACAAAACTTCAGCTTCATTGAGTTCTTTAATACATCTGGAACATGAAAAGTATCGCAGGATGATGTTGAATGACAATGTTTTTTATGATAAGCCTCGTGATGAGGTGTGTTGGAAGGAAAAGTTTTTGGGTATATTCATGAAATTTTGATTATGAAATTTATAAGTCGTTAACTAATATTAAATTTAATAGCAAACTCAATGATATGTAAAAGTTCGAGTAAAAAACTAATTATATAAGGAGAAAAAACATTACCCTTGGTTTATTCTATTTAAGGTAATTGAGTTGCATTATTATTTGATTGTTTTTATAGGTTAATTTTTAATTTGTTGATTTTCTTCTAAAATATAAGGCAAATTTCCTTTTGTAAGAAAATCTCTATCTTATTATGTTCAATTTTAATCATTATAAAATCTAAATTTTAGCATCACATTTATTTTTCATTTAATATGTTTAATACATGAAGGTGTACTATATTATGTAGTTTTACACCCTTAAATATTAAAATTTACATTTAAATCCTAATATAAAAAGAACAAAATAATTGGTGAATGATTTTTAATATTTTAACTAAATCCTAATGGTTTTTTAAAATATGAGAAAGGTAAATATTTTTTAATGAAAACATGCTTGGAAAACTTTTAGGATGTGCCATATGTATGAAAAAAATATTTTTTTAAAAAAGAGAAAATTCAGTTATAATTAAAAAAAATTAGGAGCGTTTTTGAGAAAACTAAGTATTTTAATGTTGGATTTGTATCTTACAATGTAGATATACAACCCGATATTATACAAAATTGATAGAAAAATATACAAGAAAATCACAATATTGTTTAAAATACTTTTGAAATCTTTTAATTTTTTTTAATATCATATATTATTATATTATTATTATCATATTAGGTGATATCTGTTATATTTTTGTCTATCTTGAAGAGATTTTATTCACTAGTAGTAACTCTATTTTGGTTTAATATCTCATTATTTTACTAAGTTTTGAGTTTAAACATCGTGATTCAGATGCTACTTATTATTTTTTAAGAATTGATGTAAGTTTTGCTAGTATGTGTCTTATGCTTAGTCATAAAAATTATGTTCTTGATATCTTTTACTATACTGGTATGCCATTGTTCAAACATGTTGATACTTTGGCCATGCATAGTATATATGGTATGATATCTAAAAGGTATGACTTCTTTTGACTTGCATTGTAGTTCTTCTTTATCTTTTCATGATTTTACTTATACTAATTGAGTTGATAATATTGATAATTATAAGTTTATAGATCGGGGCTTACTTTTTCTCTTTTTATACCACTCTCGTTTCATTGAAATCTAGCGAGCAACAAATTGTTGCTTGCTTTTCTACTAAAATTAAGTATAAAGTTTTAGCTGATGACACTGCTGAAGTTCTTTGCTATCTTTTATCAGATTTATATTTCTTTTCTAGTTTTATCGCTATTATTTGGTATGACAACTTGTGCAGGACTTATTTGTTTGCTAATATAAATTTTAATACTCATACCAAATATATTAAGGTTGATTATTACTTTGTTCAGGATAGAGTAATTAACAAGAAAATTTAGATTCACTTCATATCCTCTAAAAACCAACTCATTCATGTTTTTACTAAGTTGTTGCCTCACTTTTTCCCTGCTCATTTATTATCGAAATATCAAGATTTCATGTAGATATCCTATCTTCATCTTGGGAAATTGTATTATGAAATGTATTATCTTATATAAAATATTGTAATTACCTTGTATAGAGTTATTATGTGTGGTCTTTAATATGTTATATAGAGATATTTTATGTAGTATGGTCTACATTATCATCTATATGTTATCCTCTTCATACATACATACATACATACATACATACATACATATAGAGAGAGAGAGAGGAAGGCTGCCACATTAAATATAGCCATCTATTTTTCACAAAATACTATTCTATTATCTTTTTTTTTTAATTATTCATCTGGTACATAAAATAAGTGTGCTGAAAGTTAGATCCCCCTGGAATCTCGTAAATCACTATGGACATTGAAAATCTCAGAGAAGAAAACGGTATGTGGAGCTTTATTAATTAGTATATTGTTGTGCCTTAATGAATTTTTAATGAAATTCTGCCATCAGTTCAACGACCTTAGTTGATGCACTCTCTGCCTAGATCGTACGAGTTAAGTGTAAAACAAATAAAGCACGAGATAGAGCAACGTCTAACAAATCAGTAAAGCTCTAGAAATCCAACTAAAAATCAAACTAGACGATGAAAAATCAAGCTAAAAACCAACCTCAATTTGGCATCTATGATCAAAAATCAATTTATTTCTAGCGAGCCAAATTCCCCCGCAAAATAACACAGGGCACCATGCCCACAATTAATTATTACTCAAAGTGTGCATCAAATCTATTTTCTAGGTATATAAAAACAAGTGATACATAATTTCAAGATAGCATCATGCATGCATAGAAACTAAAACATGAAATATAAAACCATAAAATACTAACGTGCAGTATAGTTTCATGTATCTCTCCAACTACTTCAAACTAAAGCTTAATTCTTTTATAAGGTCAAAACACAAGATTTAATGAGAATCTTTAAACAACATATGAAATCCTCATGTGAAGCTTGAATTTCTGTTTAATCCCTAATGACTGCGGCGCCATGCCCTGCCTAGAAATTGTCTCCAATCCATAACTCCTGGTAGCCCCTAATTAAAATGAAACATCAAAGTTCAAAACTACAGGTATATATATATATATGAAAATGAAACATCAGAGCGCAAAATTACAATTGTCATCACTTAGCACTTGTACAGATCAGAGGATTCCAACAAGCCAAGATAAAAAAAAAAGGTTTAATTCTCTTTTTCGTACTGTTAAATGTTAATATCTATTGAGATTCTGTAAAAAATAATTCAATATTAATAAAAACAGTTTCTAATTTCATTGAAGTTACATAATTATGTGTGTGTGTGTGTGTGTGATGATCATCTCATAGAACAAGAAGTAAAGTGATCAAATCTTACTATTCACTGTTTCTCATCGCAATCGTCGTCGTTGGCAACCCCCAGTAATTCTTTCACGAACATCTCCGAAACAGTAGGGTTATCAATATACCTTTTTCCCATCACTGTATCTCCTGTATGCAATGATTCCCAATGTTTAACATGCCACAATTCATCTCTACACCAATTATTATTTACAAAGCTCTTAAGCTGATAAACAGAATTCCGAGCATCCTCAAGCCAACCTTCGACACTTGCGTTTGGTGGCAAATTAGTGAAGTCATCCAACTGTTTTTCTGTTCATAAACACCTTCCCATTATACGAAGCCCACATCTTTCTGGTCATTAACACCTTGTTTCCATAAAAATCCGGCATCTTAACGAAAGAAATCACTACGCTACTCAAAGTTCTAGGACGATGCCGTAATATAACATCAAGACATACGTCACTTGCATATGAAATTGGATGTTGGCTCAACATGGGGTTAAAAAACCTATCCATCGCTACTATCATTCTTCTCCGTAAAAACCCAACCTTGACAGCGTAGCAACTGTCGATACGGATATCCTCTCCATAAATCATGGCCTTAATCATCAACAAGTTATCGGCCTGATTTCGTGGGTTAAGAGTTGGAAAAGTGCATAACTTAATCTTGAGAGATTTCACCTCGGCAAACACTTTCATGAGACCAGGAACTTGTGATGGTGGAAGGTGGTTGTGTGATTCCGAGCATGGAAGCCCACCGCCGCAGCTTGGATAAGGGAGTACTCTGACAGAGATCGTTTCGGTTTTGGAGACGATGGCATGCCATTGCTTCGATACAACTGAGCAGAGAACTAGGGTTTGGGTATCTCCGATTTTTTCCACGATTGTGAAGATTATATCCTCTGGTAGTTCGCTGAATTTGTCTTCCAACTCGTCAGAGTTGTGATCTAAGCTCCTGCCGCATTGCTTGGTTTGAATGGATCTTGTCATATTTAGGAGACTATCGAGAATGGAGAAAAAAGCCCCGGAGATATTGATGTATAGGATGTTGCCCTAGCAAGGGTTGAAAGTTTTTGTTACTTGCGTTTGCTCATGTCAGATAAACATATGACATATTTATAACTAATAAAAGGATAAAATCTCCAACTTTTTTTTTCCCGTTTATTTTACAAATTCCTATAATTAGGTGGATACATGAGAATTAATCTAAATATTGTATTACTATCATAGTTATTATAAAAAATATATATGTGGTATTCTAGTTTAAATCAATCTCTGAGTAGATGAGTTATAAATTAAATCGATTTGTTATGTTGAACCGGGTTTAATGAATATGTTGGTTATCCGTATTGAACCTCTTTATTTTTATTTACCATTGCTTCTACTTTGGAGAGATTGATTGATTTATTTTTTCAAAATAAATAAATAAATAAATAATCAAAAGGGGTTCATATTTTGTTCATTGAATATAAAGCAGGTAAACACAATCGTGTAGCAAGCACTACCTATCATGTATACGTGGTGAGTTTATCATTCAAAAATAACATTTATCAAGTGCTGCATATTATTTTTATCGACATTTTTTTTTCATGAATTGGTTTCCTATGAAACCGGTTTTAGAGGTTTCTTTTGTTAAAATTAAATTGAAATTTTGGAGGAAACAAAATTTATTTATCATAAGATTTTGAGGAAATAAGTTTGTTATCAACAAATAAAAATCAAGAAAAGACTATACAAGAGCCGAATGTCCAAACATTAACACGTGGCCATAGTTTTAAAACTTGAAGGCTTGACCACGGATTTGGTTTATTTGGGATTGGAATAAAATTAGATTGACAAAAAAATACAAAAAGAAATCGGTATGACCTGATGAGTAGACCCGATAAGACCCAGTTAAAAACTAGGTTGTAATCCGTTGATTTTTTTGTTTTTACTAAAATAATATCATTTTAATTTTAAATAAATTAACCCGAATAATCTGGTGTCTGATCAAAACCTAAAACCTAAGCTTTAGACTAAACTGAGTGTAAAAACTATATATATATATAGCTATGGTGAGGTTGGCGGAAGCTCAGCTTGACTTCAAGAGATTTAAGGTTTTCAAACACCTTCTTGAAAGGAGATTGCTGATCAGATAATAATCATCATCATCCATTGTTATGAAGTGTTTGCGGGAGAAAGTATTAATTTTGGAGACAAGGGAAGCCCAGTCTTCGCAAACAGCTAAGCATTATATTAGTGAAGTCAAATTATTATTTACAAAGCTCTTAAGCTGATAAACAGAATTCCAAGCATCCTCAAGCCAACCTTCGACACTTGCGTGTGGTGGCAAATTAGTGAAGTCATCCAACAGTTTCTGTTCATAAACACCTTCCCATTATACGAAGCCCACATCTTTCTGGTCATTAACACCTTGTTTCCGTAAAAATCCTGCATCTTAACGAAAGAAATCACTATGGTACTCAAAATATATATTATTTTCATATATTTTTAAATAAAAAATACTTTAAAAAATAATAATAACTACATTCTCAAACACCTTCTTTTAAGTAAAAAATACTTTAAAAAACAATAACAACTACATTCTCAAACACCTTTTTCATCCAACCTTTGTTCATGATCTTTCTAGATGATATTGGAATCGTTACGGCGAGTACTCTCTCCAAAGACAATCCTAGATGATCTTTCTAGATGATATTGGAATCGTTACGGCGAGTACTCTCCCCAAGGGCAGTCCTAATCATCAATTAATCCTGTGTTTTTCATTTTCTTCTTGTTTTCTCATGTTTTTTTCTTTCTTTCAAATCACATGCAAAACCTTAAAAAAAATCTATTATTTCTAACATCCGTGAGGATGTAATGATTTTTCAATGAGAATAAGTTTTTTTTAATAATTTACCTCATTATTTTATGATTTTACTAATTGCACTTTTATATTGTGTAATTTATTAGAAAAAGAACATGCATGGTTGTCGTCCATTGAGCTAAGAACTCATGGGCGCATGTAACTTAATTATAGGTAAATCCATACCTCTTGACTAGATTTTCCATCACTTTCTTGCATCCATTTCTTGATAACCTTTTATTTGAACTTCAATCATGAAGGCATATAAATATTATCCTGATCATAAGCAATAACAGCCTAGGGATTTTCCGTTGCTTTCAATGATTGATCAATAATTGTTCTTGGCAAGATGTGATGTCCCTTGTAATTAAGGATTCCACACGTCAAATTTATTAAATTCAAGATATTGATCTAAAATAATATAATTTCAAGATATTTCTTATAAAAAGTTAAAAACATTAATATTCTTTATAAAATAAAAAATAAATTGAAATTAAGCTTTAATCATTATTTTTTTTTTAAAAGATGGGGCTCAGGACAGTCTCCGGTGCCAAATCGATCTGTCGGGCATATTTAATGGCACTGAATAAAGTGGGAATCCAAGAAAGAAAATGAAAGACAGAAAAAATCACTTCGGTCCCAACATGAATACTTTTATGGTAACGCATCGAAATTAGAGATTTGTCAATTCCTTGCTTGGGCCCGGCCCAAATGTTGATCTGCCGGTCCATATGCATATGGAATACCGAACAACAGCTGTCAGGTCGTTTCCATTTTATCAATTCAAGCCACATCTAGCGATGGTTCAGATACATCACCCTTTTCGCATATCTCTTCCTTTTCTTTTGCTTTTGCTTTTTCTTTTTATTGGAAAGTTTATTGGATCTTGAGTATGAAATATGATTCATCAGAGATTATTTAGTGATTTCTCGTTTCATTCCTATGGAATTAAATATAGTTATAAAATATTTATTTTAAAAGGAATTATTAAGAGTATATTTGAGAATATAATATCAGATATTTTTGAAAATAATTAAAATAATTTTTTAAAAAATATTTATTTTTTATATCAGTATATCAAAATAATCTAAAAATTATAAATTTTTTTAAAATAAAATAAAAAATATTATTTTGATACATAATTCCAAATAACCCATATACATTGAATTCACAATGTGATAGGATGGAACAATTCTATAAGGTGTCTTTTGACTATAAAAAGATGGCAATTGAGGAATCCTATGATGTTTCTATTTCAATTTCAATATGGGTAATAAAAACTCAAAACAAAATTTATTATTTTTTACATCAAATTATTAAGATAATACAAATAATAAAGATGATGATGGTGATAATGATAAGTCAATAATAAAATAATAATAATAATAATAACATATTTCAAAATAAACATAATCAATGTCACTACCATGAGATATGATGATGAGAAAAAAATAATGGAGATTTTAGAAAAGTGTTAGTGATGATAATGATGATAAAAAAAATTAATATATCAATTATGATGTTGATGATAATGTTATATATTTTTTTAAAAAATTTCATAACCACCACCAATATAGTATTTATGGAAATAGTGGTTAAGATAATGATTGGGCAGAAATAGTTGATATATATATAAAAACAAATATAATATTACATTATTTTTTAAGAAAAAGTTGTTATTATCCTTTTTTATTCCCACTTCCTTTATGAAAATAAAAAAATGTTTAATTTTGATTTTTACTCTTATTTTATATAATTTCTTCCAACCAAACATGTATAAAATTATACTAAAACTTTCTTTTTTATTACTGCGATTCCATTATGGGTTACCAAATATTAACTACTGTTGAGGATTGTGGTGCAAAATGTCTTTTGAATAATTTTTTCACATAAAAATATATTAAAATGATTTTCTTTAATTTTTTAATTTTTAATATCATACATTAAAACCATTAGAAAACACTAAAAAACATTAATTTAATTTTTTTAGGTTAAAAGCATTTTTTGAAAAATTCAAAATTAAAAATAAAAGCACTCTTAAAGACACTCTTAATCAATTATTTCTCTTAGTTTCTAACTTCCTGGACAAGTCGTCTCATTTCAGCTTGATGGGAGGAGGCTTACAAGAATTCTATACACAAATTTGTTCCTTTTTTACAATTTTTTTCTCCCCTTCAAAGTTTGTACTATTTGGAAAATGAGAGGATTTGGACGCGTCTGGTTTTATGGCATAAGAATTTAACATTGAAGGGCCCGACGTCCACTTGCGAAAGTGAATGTGTACCACCATTGTTATTATATGCAAGATGTCCTTGATTTCTAACAATATTGATTGGTCTTCGACTTAAACCAATGCTCAGGGATAGCACATGGACTCTCAAAAAAAGTATATGCACATTATGTGTATGAAGACAAATCTCGAAACAATTATATACACTATGCTCAGGGATAGCACATGGATTCTCGAAATCGACTTCGAAAGGGAGAGAACAAGAGAAAGATATTGATGGCTAAATATGCAGAGGGCGTTTGAAGGGGGCAGAATACTTTCAAAAGTCATTCAAACAAGCGAATCCATGCTTTTTATTTGGTTCAAAAGAGAGCATGCTTATTTCTTGATGGGACGTATGAAGAGTCTAGGGCAACATTCAATTTGAGATTTGTGGGAATCATTCTCTTTTACACTTGTATTATTGGAAAATGATATGTTTTAAATTAATTTGGCCCAAGAAAATGACATTCAAAGGTTGAATTGAGGTAGTGTCATTGTAGTGTTATATTGGACCCGATTTATACATGTCTTGGGAGCTAGTCAAGGCGTGATTAAGTCAAGTCCGTATCAAACTTGATTGTCTAGATTGTTATGTTTTTGATGCTCCATACATGTATGTTTCCATATCAAGTTTAGTGAATGATTGCTAGAACCAACAAATCTTTAAAGGCTTGCCTTTGAATTAATGATCCATTTTCTCTTGCTTAATTAATTATAATCGATCATAGTAAAATAGGTTAGAAATCTCAGAATGATTGGAATGTTAGTATAAGATTCAAGTCTATCTCTCTTTCTTTCGTTGTGTTAAGCATTATTAGGCAACTTAATTAAGGGAACACAAAAAGCTTCCGACGAGAGAGCTAAACAAGAAAGTACTGCTCACAAATTAAAGTGGAAAAAATTCAAAATGACCAAGAAACATAAACAAATAATAAGAATTAATTCCTAATATT